AGATGTTGTTTGCTACATATATTTAATAGCTTTGTTTACTTTCATCATATAGTTTTTGCTATGTTTTCTTTGTTTACTTTCCATTATATATTGTAATTTTTGTATTATCAAAACAGATTTATAATTTAGGGTCAAGGCCAATTCCTCAAAATTTAGTAAAATACAAAAAAATATTAATGATTTTTCACAACTTCTTCTATTTCTTTGCTAGTTTTGCTTCTTCTACTCAAGTCTTTTAAAAAACTAAGTATTTTTGTAGTCTTTTTTCTTTTTTCTTAAAGCTCTGAGTTTAGTTTTCTAGTGGTCTTGGTATGTTTTTTGTAGTTTTCATTGTTTTGTTTTTTTTAAAAATTTGTGTTTTGATGATTAGTGAAAAGAGTTTGTGAATTGAAAAATTATATTTAACTTTGATAATTAGTTAAATAATTCTATATATTTTTAAGAAAAAATGTATATATTGTACTATGTGATACAATTATATATCGCATTTTATAAGAACAGATGTAATGTGAAATCAAAACAATAAAAAAATAAAATAGTTTACTATGTTTAATTAGAGTTAGAGCAAGTTCAGTTTTGAGTTAAAATAAGGTATAGTCTATATCAAAATTTTGCAAAAAATTTTTTTTGTTAGAACACGAAAGGCTGTTTCCTATACAAAATTTTGAGATATTGGTGATTTTTCAAAAAATTACAGTTTTTTGTATTTTTTATATTACACCTGATCCTAAAATTTGATTGGTTGGGTGATAAATAAGAGTATTGCACTGGTGCGATATATAGATAAATCCAATTTTTAATACTATAGTTAATTTATTTTACTTAGTTTAGTATTTTTATATTACAATAGTAATAAAGTTTACATTAGATCTTATAAGTCTGTCTAATCTAATAATTTGACCTAGTCTAGTTTATTTTATAAGTTAGACTAGACTTAGCAATTTTAATTTATAATTGCAAGTCAGACTAGATTTAAAATTTTATAATTGCAGACTAAGCCAAGCTAGACCAAACTAAATTTAATATAATTAAATCTCTAAATAATCATATTTTTGAGATAAAAAATAGTAATTATATAGAGATATGACTAATATAAAATATACTCTATATAGTTATAATTATATTAAAAATAGGGGCTACTATTTTCACTATTATGAATTGCTATTTTCACTATACATATACAAAAATTACTATTTTTAGTTTTAATATAAAATATATAAAAATACAATATACAGTATAGTAAAAAATTAATTTTTTAAGGAAAAATGTTTTCTATGCATCCGCGTGGTCATGCACTCTATATGATTAGCCAATAAAATTAATGATCATATATTTTGATAATCATTATTTTTTTTTCGCTAATTGCTTTTTGTCACTACTTTTGCTTTTGTTGCCTTTACTATTTTGGTTTGTTGCTTTTGTTTTTACTGTTTTCGCTTTTGCTTCACTTTGTTGTTTTTGCTTTTGTTGCTTTTGCCTTGCTACTTTTGACTTGCTGCTTTCTCTTGCTGCTTTCGCCTTGCTGCTTTCTCTTCTGCTATTTTCATTTTGCTGTTTTTTCTTTTGCTACTTTTATCTTGCTGCTTTGCTTTTATCACTTTCGCTTATTATTTTTTTGCTTCTTTCTTTTTTTTCGCTTTTTTAATGTTTTTCTTTTCTTTTTTTCTTTCGACTTCTTTTTTTTCATTTTATTTTCTTTGTTTTTTTTT